TTTACCCCTTGCTCAGAGCTTGGAAAAAGTCGGGTATAAATGTGGTGTTGGGAGGTAGGAAGCAGACCTAGTGGTGAAAGGAATCACGCTCATAATCTCTAAAATGTAGCGATGCAAGTGAAATTCAGTGGGAATCCCCGGTTCAATTCCGGGCTAGGTCATAGTGTTATCAATGATCCCTTTTTGTTCCTAGCTCAGGCAGACCAGAAAATGTATACAATGAGAACAGATGTTGAAAGGGAAGGAGGAAGACCTAGTGGTGAAAGGAATCATACCCACAATCAATCTGTGCAGATGCAGCAGATTCAGTGGGAGCTCCCGGTTCGACTCCGGGCTAGGTCATGTGTTATCTATAATCCCTATTTTAATTTATGGGGTTGGGCCTATGTACTCCAATTGAGCCCCGTGATGTTTGATCGTGTGTATTCCCAATTGGGCCCGAAATTGATGGTACACGACGCGTTTTCAAGATTGCGAAATCCTCGCTCACATTCAAGTAAAATCGAGCAGGCAGAACTCTTTTTAACACCCCCGTTTGTGCCCTTTTTGTGGCGAATTTTTTATTCACCTAAGTTTGAGTTGAATATTGCGCAAATGTTGAAACACTGTGCCAGATCCTGCGACGATGCCGATTTTCAGTTTCTTCACTTCACAGCGCATCACATAGATAATCTGAAGAGACAGTTCTGTGAAAGACAGCATTATCTGTGTTATATTGTAACAGATTTCCTACTTTCGTCTTTTTGACGAAGAAATTGAGGAAAATGTGGTTCTGCCCACCCATTTTGGGTGGTCCGCCATTTTCAGTTTTCTACATGTACCAAGAGGGCCATGAGAATTCTGAGTAGACAGATGTCAATGAAACTTGGACATCTGTGTTATGTTGTAATGGAATTTTGATACAACCATTTTTCATCGAGATATACGACGACGGGTAGAAATCCATGTACCGTCCCGATCGGGACTTACTTGAGAACAAACAAGTACAATTCGTCACGCGGCTCAATTGGACTAGGCCCAACCCCACTAGTATTTATTCCTAGCTCAGAGCAACCAGAAAAAGTTTGGGATAAATGTAAAGGTTCAGAGCTAGAAAGGAGACCTAGTGGTGAACGGAATCACACCCTCTCTCAATGTGTTCATCCAAATTCCCATATGATGTTCAGTGGGAGTTCCCGGTTCAACTCCGGGCTGGGTCATATTGTTGTCTCGCAGCTTTTTTTTCACCCCTTGCTCAGACATCCCAGAAAAAGTCTGCTACGAATGTAGGCCTTTCAGAGGTAGGAGGAAGACCTAGTGGTGAAAGGAATCACACCCACTCTCAATTATGAAAGAAGCGGGTACAGTGGGAGCTCTCGGTTCGACTCCGGGCTAGGTCATGGCTTGTGTTCAGCTCTGTTTTTCTCTCAGCACTCCAGTAGCCCACAAATTGGGGATGATCTCTGAGTCGTAAGAGGGAGAATGAGGACTTAATGGCACAATAGGGGAAGTCAGAGTTGACGATTCACTGTCGATTCTGGGTCGATTCGTCGTTCGATTCTGGTACGATTCTGAGTCGAGAATCACCTTCAACTTTGACCGCCCCGTTTCTGTCTTCGATTCAGGAACGATTCAAGAAACAATTTTTGTTGGATCATTAGATCAGATGTGATGATGGATTGAAAGCCGTCGAATCAGCGTCGATTCAGATTCAATTCAGTGTGTGTTCCTCCTCCGGAGGAGGAACAGCGATTCACATTCGATTCAGCGAAACTCGATTCTTGATGAAAACACTACTCAGAATCGGATCCGAATCGAAACGTGATTCGAGCGTGAATCGACGCTGATTCATCAACTTGACTTCCCCTAATGAATCACATCCTCTCCATAATACCAACTCGCTTAGGTACTAGAGGTTTAGTGGGAGCTCCCGGTTCGACTCCGGGCTAGGTCATGGATTTGGCATGCGACCTGATTTTTTTCGTCCGCATCCTTACTGCGTGTTCATACAGAACGAGTCGCGTCAGACAGACTTAGGACCTGGACATCGGAGTCGTCCAGTTTGAGGCTCCTGCGCCGGCGTTGGAGTCGTTTGGCTTGACGCTTCGCTGCCGGAATTCCACCGAGGAGGCGGGAGAGGCGGAGGAGGCGGCGGAGGCGGGTTTGAGTCGGGGATGCGCACACGCGACTCGGAGGTGGGGAGGAAAGCCGGGTCGGGGAGGAATGGAATACCAATGGGGGCGCGCACTCGGGATCGGGACGCCCTCTCATGGCAGTTCTGAGTTCTGAATCGCGTATGAACTTTGAGTCGGTAGGCCCGGGACGCCCGTTCGCAGGTCCGGCGCGCGATGCGCTTTACCTCGATAGGTCGTAATCCCGGATTTCCCCTGCGGCTCAAGCGCACGGAACGGAGTCACACTTTATGCGGTGCGTGGCCTTGAGTGCCACTTCGCTTCGTCCGGCCGGGGTAAGCACCACAAAGTAAAAATAAAAATGTAATAATAACGCACCGAGCGCAGGGATCTCGCCGCTGTCATGTCGATGTCAGAGATGTAAATGCGTAGCTGCTTGCGGCTGGAGTGAGAGTACATAGAAAGTATGCTGGTCGCGTTCGTGAGACGGAGGGGACGCGGGACGCTGAGGCGAATTTGGATTATGTGGGTGTGGGTGGATGCAATGATCGATGATCCGGCGGGCTTGGGGGTGATCTCGGGCGGGGCGGGGGTGGGCGGCACAACGAGTGCAGGAAATATACTAGGATGTAAATATAAAAGCCGCCCGGAGAGGATATAAAAAGTGCGTGCGCAGTCCGACTTTCGAGGATACTATTACTGGCGCGGAGGGGGCGTTGAGCGGCACCGAGTACACGAGACGGGCGTGCCGATGTCAGCGTCGTCTGCCGTGGCCGCCGCTGGATACATCGTGCCGTATGCTGCCATGCTCGGCGCGAGGGTGTAGGATCGGGCGGTGAATTGAGGCGCATTGAAGACGCAGTTATATATAAACGCAGAGATCATGATCACCGCGAGGAATGTGGGGAATTTATTTATGGACGTGGCGTCGCGGGGATAGGCGGCCGCTGAGGGAAGGGCTGCACTTGGAAGACGTCGGCCAAGGAGGACGAGAGAACTTGGCTGATGTCCAAGACTGCCCAAGGTGGATGGGTGGAGGAGAGCGATTGAGCGAGGGGCATGACAAACACGTAAACGAAGCCTCGCAGCAACCGTCAGTTCAACCTGCTCGTTGCCGCGGCCCGCCGTCGTCGTGCTCACCGCCGTTCTCCGTTGCCCACAACTCAGGCGCATGAAACACCATTGCGAGCTCAAACGAGGCGAGCTTGAAGTCGCCACTCTACGTCTACAAACTTCTGGGTAATCCAGACCCCACTCTTCCCACTCCCCACTTGCCACCCACTTGCCACTGTTTCGATTTCCATTCATCTTTCTGCAGGCCGCGCGTCCCACCGCCGGAGCCGAATCTGCCACGCATATTCGGCGCGCGCCTTACGCTTCCGCCGCTGGGAGTCTACGCCTCCCTCCTCCTGGTTCCTCCTACCTTCGCCTTTTATTATTTCCACGTTGATTCCCTCTTCGGTATCCACCCCATCTTCCACGTTCCGAGTTCCTCTCCCTCACTGGTGTCAATACATCGCCGCGGCTACCGCCTAGCTCCGCTGCCGCTAGAGATACTGAGTTCTGACTCCCGATGCTGGCTCCGACTCTATTTCTCGTCCCAATTGACCCCCCACTGTTGTCTCTATCTCTCTACGCCCACATATATTTCTCGCCTGCGGTTGATGTTTGACGCATGCACCATCGTTCTTCGCGCGGCCCTTTATCTATTACTTCCACTTCCGGCTATTGCTCCCTGCGCACACCGAATCTTAACTGCTCCGCAATGTCCATGATTCTGCACCCGCCTTCCCCGCGCCCTTGTTCTGCATTTGCCTGCTCAACCCTCAAAACTAAATTAACAGGCCGGCTCACCCCTATCCCAATCTCGATTCGCATCTCCGTCCGCAAAAGCCGAGTAACGCCTCTCAGGTTTCTCGCCTCGTTGTCATTACCAACGACATACTTAGCTCGCCCGGCACGACCTCTTGCTTGATCTTGGGTTTGCCCTCGCCCCTCTACCTTCATCTATCTCCACCTCTCCTCCCTCGGCTCAATCTCCTACCTTCCAAGTAACCCACACCCGGGCTGCAGAGCTTGCTCGAGACCTTCCCATCATACGTAATGGTGCGGTCCGAGTGTCGTCCTCGAGCACCACACTCGTGCAAAGTATCAGGCTCCGCGCTCGTCCAAAGTCGAAGATCAATGTCTCCCCGTGCCAGGAATCGTATGTATGTATCAGGATTTGTGGATGCTGTCGGTTACTGTCAAGATAATGCAAAGTCAAAAATCAAGTCACCCTCAGCGCGAATTCCGATCCGACAAAGGCTGCTATACATGAAGGAATTGAGCGGTAGAAGGGAGATCTGGTAGTGGACGGAATCACTCTCACAATCTGTGGTCGGTAACTGTGTCAGAACCCTTCAGTGAGAGCTCCCGGTTCGACTCCGGGCTGGATCATAGCTGGCGAAGCATTACTTACCTTTTTTCCCCCGCGTGCAGAGAGCCCTTCTGCAAAAGGCCTGTATAAATCTAGGGGTTGAGAGGTAGGAGAAAGACCCAGTGGTTAATGAAACACATCCACCCTCGATGCTTTGTCAATTTGAGTTCAGTGGGAGGTCCCGGTTCGAGTCCGGGCTAGGTCGTAACATTTGTAGCCTGTTGCTTTTTTACCCCTTGTTTAGGCAGACCAGAGAAAGTCTGGGATAAATTCCCGGACGGAAAGGGAGAAAGAAAGACCTAATGGTGAAAGGCATCCCACCTACTCTCAATATACAGGAAAGAAAGTTCAGTGGGAGCTCCCGGTTCGAGTCCGGGCTAGGTCATATGTTACCAGTATGTTCTTTTTTTCCCTTGCTCAGAGTGCCCGGAAAACTTGGTATAAATCTAGGGGTTGAGAGGTAGGAGGAAGGCCTAGTGGTGAAAGGAATCCCACCCACTCTCTATAATACGAGCGTAAGTACTAGAGGTTTAGTGGGAGCTCCCGGTTCGAGTCTGGGTTAGGTCATACGTTGGTTGGAGTCTCTTTTTACCCCTGGGCCCTGGCCCAGAGTGCCAGAAAAAGTCTGGCATAAATCCAGGTCTCGAAGGGTAGAAATGAGACCTAGTGGTGGACGGAATCATACCCACAATCAATCTGTGCAGATGCAGCAGATTCAGTGGGAGCTTCCGGTTCGACTCCGGGCTAGGTCATATACCTGGACTGGTTCTTCTTTTTTACCCCTTGCTCAGAGCCCGGAAAAAGTCGGGGATAAATGCAGGTCTTGAAGGAGAGAAAGGAGACCTAGTGGTGGACGGAATTATACCCACAATCCAATCTGTGCAGATGCCAGAGATTTCGGTGGGAGCTCCCGGTTTCGACTCCGGGCTAGGGTCATATGCTGTTGATAGTGCATTTTTCTTCCCAGCCAGAGAAACCAGGAAAAAGGATGATATTTTGAATGGGAAGGTTCAAGAGCTAGTGAAAAGAGACCTAGTGGTGGAATGCAACCACACCCACTCTAATTGTGAAAGACGGGTTACAGTGGGAGCTTCGGTTCGACTCGGGCTAGGGTCATGGTATGTTTCGATGAAGGTTTTTACCCCTTGCTGAGAACAAACCATAAAAAGTCTGTGATAAATCTAGGGACGGAGAGGAGAAAGGAATACCCAGTGGTGCACGGAATCACACCCACTCTCAATGATATTCGCGTAGGAGGGCATTCAGTGGGACTCCCGGTTCGACTCCGGGCTGGGTCGTGAGTCTGGACGAGTGACTTAATTTTTTTGGTCTGCACCGGCACTGGCGTTTTTCGTCCGCATCATTTCATACGCACGAGTCGCGTCAGAACTTAGGCCTTGGAGTCGTCCAGTTTGAGGCTCCTGCGCCGACGTGGAGTCGTTCGGCTTGGAGCTCCGCTGCCGGAATTCTACCGAGGAGGCAGGTTTGAGTCGGGGATGCGCACACGCGGAGCGGGCGGCTCGGAGGTGGGGAGGGGAGGGAAAGCCGGATCGGAGAGGGATGGAATGGAGTGGAATGGGGCGCGCACTCGGGATCGGGATCGGGACGCCCTGTCGCAGTTTTGAGTACTGAATCGCCTTGGAGTCCGTAGGCTTGGGACGCCGCAGGTCCGGCGCGCCAGTTACCTCGATGGCTCTAAAAGTCTCGCAGGAGCGGCCGTGATACCCTGGGGCTCAAGCGCACGGGGATACGTTGCGTGACCTCTGCCCTCTGTGCCGCTTCGCTTCGTCCGGCCGGGGTACGTACCACGAAATAAAAATAAAAATGACCGAAGGTGTGTAATAATATCGCACCTAGCGCCGCGGGGCAGGGATCGCGCCGCTGTCGTGTCGATGTCAGAGATGTAAATGCGTAGCCGCTTACGGTGCTCGCTTGCGGCTACAGTTACGGTGCTTGCTTACGGGGGAGTGAGGGTAGAAAGTACGCTGGTCGCGTTCGTGCGACAGAGGGGGCGCGGGACGCCCGGTCGGATTTGGATGTAAATGTAGACGTTTGGGGTGATCTGACGGGCTTGGAGGCGATCTCGGGCGGGGCGGGGCGGGGCGGGCGGAACAACGACGTGCAGGAGATACTAGGGATGTATAGAAAAGTCCCGGAGAGGATATAAACAGCGCGTGCGCGCTCCGACCTTCGAGAATACTATTCCTGACGTGGAGGGGGGTTGAGCGGCGCCGAGTACACGAGAGGGGCGTGCCGATGTCGGCGTGGTCTGCCGTCGCCGCCGCTGGCGTGCCGTATGCTGCCATTGAATACGCTCGGCGGGTGCGGTCAGCAGGGTGCAGAGATCAGGCGGTGAATTGAGGCGGATTGAAGAAGCAGTTATATATAAACGCAGAGATCATGATCACCGCGAGGAGTATGCGGGATTTATTTATGGACGCGGGGATAGGTGGCCGCTGAGGGAAGGGTTGCCTGCACTTGGAAGACGTCGGCCAAGGAGGACGAGAGAACTTGGCCTGTCCAAGAGTGCCCAAGGTGGATGACGTGGAGAAGAGTGGTTGAGCGAGGGGCGTGACCAATACGTAAATGAAGCCTTCGCAGCAACCGTCAGTTCAACCTGCTCATCGTCGCCACCGTCGTGCTCACGGCCATGCTGAATCTCTATGGCCCACAATACAAGCGCATGAAACACATCAGGGACAACAACAATCAGGGATGATGCCGGCTGATCTTGCGTGTCTATTTGGGCCAAATCTGGGCGAAGATTGGCACGAATCACGGACAATTGTTTTTATGGGGATCAGCATTTTCAAGTTTTATCCCCGCCTCCTACCTGCTATCCCCTCCCCCCTTCTTTGCAAGCGGCCACCATGCACACCCCCGCCCTGCTCCTCCTGCTCGCCGCCGCCGGCGCGCACGCCCAGGACCGCACCACCGAAGCTGAGGAGGCCGCCATCGAGGACCCCACCGCCGAGTGCGCCCCCTACTTCTACGCCCCCGTCTCAAACGCCATCCCCTCCTTCCCCACCATCTCCCAGAACGCCACCGCCATCCTCCCCAACGACTCCGTCGCCCGCGCAAAGTTCGCGTCCTTCAGCGCGAACATCCCCAATATCGCGCCGAGGGGCACGCTGGGGGGCGACTTTTCCGGGGTCACGTACGATGATGCGGCGGACCCCGATTGCTGGTGGACGCAGACGCAGTGCACCACGCCGAAGCTCGCCGGGGTCAAGGCGGACATCGTGGCGGTTCCTGAGGTAGGCGTCGTGTGCCTGGCTTGTGCTTGGCGCTGTGTGCTGACGCCCCCATGTGCAGCCCCGCACCCTGGGCTACGGCTTCGACGACGGCCCCTTCTGCGGGCACAACCGCTTCTACAACTTCCTCGCCTCAAAGCAGCAGAAAGCTAGTGCGTGCCACCCCCTCTCTCTATTTTTTTCTGCCAGCTCACGAGCATCGCCAGCGATGTACTTCATCGGCACAAACGTGATGAACTTCCCCCTCGAGGCGCAGCGCGCCGTCGCCGACGGGCACGAGATCTGCGTCCGTGAGTGCCACTCCTCTTCTCGTCCTCCCTCTGCTTGATGCCCCTCTCGCACATCTCATGTGTTGATGTGATGCTGACACACGCACAGACACCTGGGCGCACCCCTCAATGACAGCGGCGACGAACGAGGGCGCCTTCGCCGAGCTCTGGTACACGATGCAGGCGATCAAGCTCGTCACCGGCGTCACCCCGACGTGCTGGCGCGTGCGTCCCCTCCCCCCCCTCTCTCTACCGAACGCTTACATTGCCCCCGCAGCCCCCGCGCGGCGACGTCGACGACCGCATCCGCTTCATCGCGCAGCAGCTCGGCCTCGACACGGTCATGTGGGGCTTCGACGCGTTCGACTGGGAGGTGGGCTCGAACGGTGTCACCGAGGCGACGGTGCAGGGCAACTATGATAGTATTGTGACGAAGGCGGGGCAGGGGGCGTTTAATAATGTGCGTCCTTTTTCTTTTTGAGCCGTATGGGTGCGGGCGAGCACGGGGGAGATGGGGACGGGGCCGTGGGCCGCGGTGGACACGGGGGAGGGGGGGAGGGGGCGAGCACGAGGGGAAGACGGACCTCCTCTCCCGGGAGGCGTTCGCTTGCGAGTTCCCGTGCCCGCTCGCCAGGACGGGGAAGAATAATAAAAACACCACGCTAACGAAACGCCTATCTTTTCTAGGTCGGCGCGATCATGCTGATGCACGAGCTGAACAACTACACGATGCAGACGACAATGGATAACTACCCGAAGCTTGCTGGCGCGTTTGACGTGAGTGTCTGTTCTTTTTACTTCATTTTTCGTGACTCGCGACGACTTCGTTCTTCGTCGTTGTCGTGCTGATTTCCGCTTCCGGTCGACGTCCTTCGTCTACCCGCTTTTCACTACCTTCGTCCCCCGCTTGCCACTTCATTGTACTCCCGTTCTTTCCTCCCCGCTCCCTTCCCCCCCCTCCGCGCCTTTCCACTCCCCCCCGCCTTTACTGCGCAAAGAAAGAAAGCTAACGACCCTGACAAACAGCACCTCGTCCCCGTCGGCGTTGCGATGAACAAGACGCAGCCGTACCAGGAGACCAACTACACGCAGCCGAATTTCTCTGCTTGTGAGTGCCTCCCCTCCTTCCCCGTGCCTCCCCGCCTCCCTGCGTGCTCCCCGCTGCGCTGAGTCGACTCCGCTTCTCTGCGCGTCGTCTCGACCCGCGGGCCGCGAGCCGTGCCTCTCCACACTTCTCCTTGCGCGTCGTGTCGACCCCCGCTCCCTTTCCTGTCATGTAGACCCTCCTCCCCGCTCCTCCCCGCACCTCTGGGCGTTGCATCGATCCCGCTCCCCCGCGTCCCCCCATCGCCGTCGCACACGCCCTCCCTGCGTCCCACTCTTCCCTTCCCTTGCTCGTCTGCTCTGCATCGCACACACCCTTTCTTCTCCGTGCGCGTCGCATACACCCTCCCTTCTCCTTCCCCTCCTTCCCCCTCCTTTCTGCGTCGTATCGATCCAGGCTGACACGCTCCCTCCCAGACGTCGCAAACCGCACCGGCGCCTCCTCCCCCGGCGCCTCCGGCTCCTCTGGCTCCTCTAACTCCTCTGGCACGGGCTCTGGCTCCACCTCGAAGACGGGCACCGGGTCCGGGAGCCAGGCGTCGGGGACGGGCGCGGCGGCGGGCCTGCGCGCGCCTGCCTTCGCCGTGGTCGTCGCCATGGCGCTGGGGGCCTTGGCGTTGATGCGGTGATCTAGGCGGTGGAGTTGGGGAAGTGCGGATGCTTACGACTCGAAAAATGGAGCCCTCGCGCGCCTGCCGTGCGGTGCGGTGCGGAGTCTTGGACTGTAGCCTGACTGTGACTGCGGGAGATAATCATTGATACCTGGTGCATTTGCATCGCCCTACATTCGTTTTTGGTTTTGTGCGCTCGTTTGATATATACATTACTTACCGGATGGGTGTGCGTGTGTGTGTGTTGAGGGGGGGCGTTTGTGAGTGGGTTTGGGTGCGTGAGGAAGCAAGGAGAGTGGGGAGGGCTCGGAGGGAGGGAAGCGGTCGTT